AATGCCCTGGCAGGTTAGAACCAAGGTCAGGGCCCTCAGAACACTCCCCTCCTTCCCCCAAATTAATGTGCCCTCAGCTAGTCCCTGGCAGGGGGCCTTCCACGTTGGAGCAGGGCCAGGCCCTAGTCGCGGTCCTCCTCTCCTCGCCCCCCCTTCTCATGTGGTTGCCGGCAGCTGCCTGCGGTCGCCTCAGCCCCTGTGCTCAAGGCACGGGGACTTTCCAACAGGGGAAAAAATGACTTAATGAGAGTGGGAGCCGGGGGCGGGAGGGACAGGTCCCTGTAATCACCGCTCCGCAGTGGGGCCTGAGCGCCTCCGGGCCATTCCCCAGCTTCCTGTTGCCAACGCCCCCCTTGGGCTCTGCTGGAGGAGGAGGGTGGGCTGGCGACCTGGGGATCCCTTTTCAGGTGCTAATCTCTCTGCAATTCTCTGGCTACTTTTGTCTCCTAGGCTCTCTGTGCGTGGAAGCTGGGACTCCCCAGGGCCCCTCGCTGGACCGTTGTAGCTTGAGGGAGATCTAGGCCAGAAGTCAGGGTCCCCTCGGATAGGTTAGAGGGATGAAGGATTCAGAGAGCCCTTTGCCACTTCGCGGCTGCGCACTTCGAAACGCCCTTGGTTGCTCTGGCAACCAGGGCAGCCGAGGTGTGTCCGCGGGGCTGGGAGGCGCCCTTGCCCCCCTTTTTCGCCGCCTGCGGGGCAGAGCCCGGCCGCTGCGGTGCGCGGGGGTGGGGGTGTGCCGTTACCATGGCAAGGGTGCGCTAGGAGGGCACATTCTTCCCCAGGGTGGGAGCGCCCTGGGGATACGAGAAGGGGGGTGACGGGGGCGGCAGAATAGGGAGCGGGGAGGGGGTGGTCAGAACGAGGAAGGAGTCTCGGACAAGACAAACTAGGGCTTCTGGGGTTGGGGTGGGAGTTTGGAATCCGTCCCCACCCCCACCTCGCAACTCTCCGGACGCATCCGCTCCTCTTTCCGCCCCCTCCCACACTCCTGCTGGGGCTCTACTCTCCACCGCAACCCCGTTTCTGGGGAAGGGGGCCCTGACTTCTGACCCGAAGGCCTTTAGGTTTCTTCCACGGCCGCGCCAGCGGAGCTGAAGGGTCAGTCCCTTTCCCCCCCGTGAAGCTGTACGCAGCCCAGACTGCAGACCAAAGTCCTGCAATTAGCCCCTCGCCCGCTCCTGCGCCGCCCGCCTGGCCTCCGCCAGGCCGGGTCTCCACCGTCAATTACAGTAGCTCCCAGCAGCTGATTACCCGGGAGCCTGGCGAGCAGCCGGGGGTGGGGACAGCAGGCAGGTCTAGGGGGCGGTGTCCCAGGGGTTGGCCCTGGCCCCGGGGTCCTTAACTGGAGCCTCGGATTGTAGCCCTCTAGCCTGACTTCTTCCTCCAGACAATATGGAGAGGAGGAATCTTTGCAGTGCTCCGCATGGCTGTGTCTCAGTCTCTCTCTCCTAGAATGCACACTGCACTTAGGGCAGAAAGCGAGCAGGGAGGATCTGTGTACATGCGGACGCTGGAGCGTCTGGAGTCGAGGGCTGAGTACTCAGAAGTTCAAGGCCCTCAAGGCCTCCTCCCTTTCCAGCCGCAGACTGCCGCGTGGGTCTCTCCTGGCCCAGTGCCCCGCCCGTGGACCGGGCTCTGTCTTGCTGAGCCAGTCCCAGAGCCGCGGCCAGCCCATACAGCATTTTTGTGGGGAATCAGAATACGGCGCCCCCTCTGGGCGGGAGGATCCCCTCTTCTGTCTCACGCGGGAAGGCAATTCAGGAGTCTGCAGAGCCAAGCGGTGGAGTATTCTGCCTGTCCTTTCGCTCTCCTCCTGTCTGTGGGTCTGCAGGGACTCGGGGTAGGCTTCGCGCCTGCAGCTGTCCAGCTGTCCACATCTGGCTGGCAGCTGGGAGCCGCCTACGGCGAACTGCTGAGCACACAGCGCCCTCTGTCGGTTGCTAGCAGCAGCGCACCGGCTTTTGGTCTCGTCGCTCTAATTTGAAGG